TTAATAGGTGCTATTCAAATTTTATATTTCCTCAGAGTAAATTTCATTAATTTGTCTTCCAAGGTACTTCTTAGAAGTTGTCAAATTTATTTCAAAACAGATTTTTGTAATATGTTTTCCATATCCTTTTAAATTCTGTAAATTCTGTGGTAATGTCTCTTATATCTTAATATTGTAATTTAAAAAATGTATAATTGATATCGTGTAATAGAAAAAAATGGTCTAAAGGAGCAGGGGAAGTGGGAGGGGTAGGGGAAAGGAAAGAAGGGAAAAATATGAAAAAAGGATAAAAATGGGAACAAAGTCTTTGCAAATAGGGAAGGGTGGAGGGGGTGAAGGGAGGGCAGAGGAATGGGGAAAAAAATAAGAACCAAGATACTCATGTAATGGTACAAGATCCCAACAATGAATGTAACTGTATTTTATACCTAAAATGTAACAATAAGCTTAATGGGGAAAAAAAAAAGAAATTTACATTTCCCTTGTAAAAATAAAAAACAAAACTGTTTATCAATAGAATCTAAAGTTATCAGATACCCCAAGACATACTAATTCCACTCCTACACAAATATATGAAAGAAATTGTCTTCCAGAAGTCATGTATGAGAATGTTAGTTACAATTTTATTCATAAAAACCACAAGCTGTGGTATTCTTCACATTAAGGAATAAACCACTACTCTAGACAATAATATGTATTAATCATAGAGACACTGTATTGAGGAAAGGAATTTTAATACTGTAGAGTAGATAATCTGTGATTCTATTTCCAAGATATTTATAAATTACCAACATTAACTGATGGAGTTAAAATTTGGGGACATATTGAGTGGAAAGAGGCATGAGGGTGAGAATGTTTACAGCTGGTATATACATGACCATCTTGGGGTACACATACATAAAATGTCAGAGTGATGTGCCTGTGGCTTTATGTAATCTATACCTCTCTATAAAATGTTTGGAAGATACTCCTCTCTTTACTCCTGAAAGTCAGGTTTCACCTAACATCCCAATGCTATTGACAGAGCTTCAGACAACTACAACAGTACCCTTTTCTTTGTTTCTGTGATTCTGTTCTCACTGCTCTGTAATCTCTGTTTTATGCTTCTGTCATTCATTTTTCTATCAATGTCCTTATGTAAATTCTCAAACGACTTTCAATTAACAGGAACTAGGTTTTCAGCTTTAGGCCTTCTGTGTGTGCTATTCATCTGATTTAAGACTTTGGTAGCCAACATTCCCCAAATCCTACTCCAAATTCCTCCAATATCATGAGATACTGCATATGATTCTAATTGCTCTCTGAATCTGTAGTCCAGCATGCCTCTACTTCTCACTTCATGTGTAAATTCTTCAATATTACAGTTGCATATGAGACAAATGCAAGCTCCTACCTGAGGCTGGGATGCAGTTGCCTTACCTGATGCACCTCCAAGCCACACCCTGCACATCTTACTTTATGTGATCAGCTATATCACACTGTTCATCATTTTGGAAACACAAGAGTTGTCTTTCAGACTCCTGCATGTGATCCCCACACTTGTATCTATCCTAGCTGTTTATTGAAAAGTTCTTTTCTCTGAATTTTTTCCACAATAATTCCTACATCTTTTTATATTCTACCATTTTGAATATATTTCCTTTAGTGAACATAATGCATCATATTGGAATTCTCTTGTTATATATTTCTCTTTTCCTTTAAAATATGGTTCTTTAAAGCAGAATCCCTAGTCACCACATTATACTTGATAATCAGTACACATCTCTTGGTACTAATGTAAAAGCCAAATGTATACTGAAGACCACTGAAATATGTTTTAAGATAATTTTTTTTTTTTGGTACCAGGGATTGAACTCAGAACCTTGCACTTGCAAGGCAGGTGGCAGAACCACTGAGCTAAACCCCTGGCCCCTTAAGATAATATTAAAAAACCTATCAAATTACTACTGAAGTGACATGTTAGTTATGGGGGGAAATAAAAAATGTTATATTTAAACAAAGTAGTAAGTCGAAAGCTTTTTGGAAAATAGAAAACATCAAGTAAATGTACCTTATAAAAAATGTCTGTGTACAAAGAAAGCAATGTGGCCAGAAAGGCTGGAGCAGATAAAGTGCAGGACAAGGCTGCCAGTGAGTGAGGAAAAGACACTGGGCAGAGTGAGGGTGGCGGTAGCAGAGGTATAGGATGGTCTAGGACAGTTTGGGCTTTTACTCATAGGGGTGTACAAAGGTCACATAGCGATTTGTCTAATGCACATAAAATATCTTTATTTGAAAATACTGAAAAAAATCCATGTTGTCTTTGAAATTAAGATGAAATTTTCAGTAAGAAGAAAGAAAAGGGGAAGGGCAGAAGGGAAGGAGAAGGGAAGGGAGAGAGAGAGGAGGGAAAGAAGGCAAGAAAAAAAATGGACTTACCAAAGCTTTTTCCACTATAATGTGCATTGGTAGATATTGGGCTAATAGTTGTAAATGAGATTGTTCCTGGAAAAATGAACAAAGGATTTATCAAATGTTATTATGTATTGAATATGTTAATGGCAAAAGGTAACATATAAAGAAGGCAAAACAATGCACATAAAGCCATCAAGAGGAAAAATATAAAAATTAACTGTAAAGCCTAAAAATTCACTTTAAATCATTCCAGACTTTGAAAATTCCTAGTACTCTTGCCAGAGTGATATATACTTCAAGATTAGTATTGCATGAGAAAGTGAATAAAAAGTTACAGATTCTGTTGTCTTCATCTGATGACAGCTACACCACCTAGTTTACTGGAAAATTTTTCACCAACTGTCCTAGAGAATATGTTAATACCAGCTATAGATCGATGCAAATTTTCCATTTATTCTGCAGAAAATATGGGAAATATTTTTTCTACAATTCATTAACACTTGAGGAATTATAGTCTAAACAGAAATTTGGGTAGTGTGATTTGCCTATTAACCACAGGGTATGCAGCAAACAAAAGAATGTTAAATATCAGAAATTATTCAATAGTTCCAGAACATAGATCATGTTTGATATCATGAAATATTCTTGATTGTGCCAAGACAGCATTAAGCTGTCAATTTACTGCATCAAGATTCAAGATTTCTTCTGAGGTTTTTATATAAGCTACAATTCTAACAGTGAAATGTCACTTTACACATAGTCATTTCAGAGAAATTAAAATTTCTCTGAGCAAAGCTTATTAGTCACCAAATTAGCTTAGGGTTGGTGATAAGATTGGATATGTCATAAATACTGGATTTAACTAGGTAGAATCTTGATTTTAAATAGATTTGTTCATATTTCCATGGAGAATTACTATAAAGTATGCACGCATTCTATATATTCATTGTTCATTGCTTTCATTCTTTTTCCTTCCTTCCTTTCTTCCTGCCTCCTGCCCTCTCTGTCTCCTTCCTATCCATACATCTACTTTTCCAGTCATCCTTTCTTCCATCCATTCATCCATCCATCTACTCGATTTATCATCCTTGTGTGTGTATATACATACATATAGGCAATTTTGTATGAAAGAAAATGTTAACTCATTTCCTCTCAAATTCTGAAATAAGTGGGTTTGATCTCTTAGCTCGCTTTCATTCTTAATGCGATTTTAAAACATGTTCTAAAATCTTGTAAAAGGGAATAATTTGGAGTGGGAAGAGGTAATATTAAAAAACAAAATTATATAATTACTGATATTGACATTTAATGAACTGAAAAGTTAGGCTTCATTATTTTGATAGACCTAGAAATACACTCAAAAAATATTTCTAAAACTGCATATATTTCTAAAACCAAACACACTTGAATACACAAAGCCATTTTAGAGATTTCATTGATTAAAAACAATACAAATTAAAAATTGCTGTTGGTGCTTCATTTTCTTACCTGTGTCTCCTTCTAAAGTCTCATTTCCAGTATTTTTATAATGACTATTTTCAAATATCTTAACATCTTATTATATTGCCTATGACTTTGTTTCAGGTTTACTTCTTTAGTTAACACATTTGAAAACCTGTACAGTAATTCATCCACCTCACTGTCAGTAGATATCTTATTTTTATCTGACCACAACTCCAATGATGACAACACAATCATCACATTAAGTTGTGCAAACACCTAAGGACATAAATAAATAGATTATATATTAAAAATCATGTTGTATTATTTTATAATAACCTAGAAATTATTTCAGTATTATTACAAATCCACACTCAATTTAAATGGATGAATTAATTACTGAGAAACAGCACTTCAACTTACTGAAAATGTAATTCCAAAACAAAAAATCTGACATGAAAAGGAAAATACTTACTGAATTTACAATGTTGATCATTTCAATGACTTTGTTAGTTACGGTCATGCTATCAGAGCCCAAGTAATCATACTGAAAGACAGAATTAATTTTACATTTAAATCCAATTTGTTATGTTATATTTTGAGATTTAGTCTTCATCTACTGGCTGACTTGGGATTGAATAGTTCAAAATAAGACATTAACAAAGAAAAAATGAACACAAACTGGAACATTTGCATTGTGAATGGTGATGCAAATAGTGGTACGGTCACTCTAGAAAATAGCTTGGCAACTTCTTATAAAACAAATAATTGACTTATTACATGTCCTATCAATTATACTCCTGGGCATTTATCCCAAATAAATGAAAACTGATTCTCACACAAAATCCCGCATATGAACTTTCCTAATATTGTTGTCCCTAAATGGCCAAAAATGAACATTTTTAAGTGATTTAATGGCTTAAAATGTAGTACAAACATTCCCTAGAATATTAATCTGCAATAAAAAAGAAATGAAATCCTCATATATGAAACACCTTAAATAAACCTTAACAAAATTATGGTAAGATTAAAAACAATCTCCAAAGAAAACACTGCAGGATAACTTTATATAATATTTGTGAAATGATAAAGGAGAACACCTTAGTGTCACTACAGGGTTAAGAAGAAGGAGGATCTGGGTGAGGCTGTGAAAAGATAGTATGAGAATCTTGTGGTGATGTGCTGTTGAGTGTCTTGGTTATGGTGATTCCACAAGACCTCTGATACACCACTGTCGCAAAAAAACACACACATACATATCCACACATGCACAAATTAGTGCAAAGTGTTATGAATTAACAATGGAACTCTGGATTGCAGCAATGTTAAACTCTGTATGTCTACACAACAGCTTTCTACAGCACACTACATGCAGTGGATTTCTGTAGGAACTTCAAATTTTCAAAACTACACTCGTATCAGAAACTAAATGCTCCTTCCTCCCTCAAAATAGTGTTCTTACTTATATTTTGAACACTTCTATTTAATGGTACTATCAATTATTGCATCTACATTTATTATGACATATTTCACAGAAAAAAAAGCTTTTGTTCACTGCTACATCCTTAATAACTAGAAAAGCAGCTGATATGTAGATGACACACAGCAGATTTAAACAAATGAATAAATTTACAAGTTCTTCTAATTTTACCTCACCAGTAACTTTAAAGTTTTACCACTAGTTCTGGTCCTACTGAAACTAAAGGACCCTAGTTAGCAAGACAGACTCCGTATTGCTGCTTGACCCACCTGCCTGTCCTTTAGATGAACTCAGAAGGAGGAAGTTTAGAAACCTCCTCCCCTTAAAAGGTCCCTTTAGAAATAACAATTAATCAACTATTGTTTTACAAATGTTCTAACAACAGGTCGTTCTGCTTCTGTACCTTTCACTTGCTTTTCTAGTTCAATACCATAGGGGGGCCTAGAAACTGTTGGCTTCAAAGGTGTATAAAAGATGTTTGTCTCCCCCAAGTTGGGGCTCCAGTCTGTCACTTGGCTTGGGTGCCGACTGGTAATAAACTCCTGGGTGAATTTAATATCGGTCTCTGGTTGGTTCTTTCTCACTAGGTCTAACAGAAACCAATTTCTAAGTTCTCACTTTGATGACTGAATAATTTCTTAAGTGATTACTCCTCCAATTTTCCTATCAGCAAGCTACCCCTACACTACTGCCAAAATAAAAATTCTAAAATCAAACCGTGAATATGGCACTTACTTGCTTAAAATTTTTCAATGTCTATTGCCTTAAGCTAAAATTCAAATATCCTATGAATTATTTGATTCATCTATTTCCACGTCCCTCTTCTAGCCCTGAGTACTATTGACAAACTTTCTCTCATACTTGCACAAGAAGGTTGATACGAAGTCTTCCCTGGGCCAATCCTCCACCAGTTGCTCATTTTTGTATCCACTATATGCCCTGCTGTGTAAAATACGCCCTTTTTGTTTTGGGTATTTCTTATGCTTTGATAACTTGGGGGCTTGCAGATTTTGAAAACATGATTCTCAGAGTAAAGAGGGATAGAAATTGACTGCCTTAGAGTGTACCAAACCAATCCAGTTAGGACCTGCACCCCAGGGCCCTCCTGCCACAAGCTCTCACCCTCAGGGCCACTTTTTTTCTGCCCTGCCCAGGACCAGGTAGACAAATATGCACGGCTGCTACACCCCAACTAGTACACACTGAAAATATGCAAGTGAGGAGATCTTAAGCTGCTTATGCTGCCTTGTGTGATCTCACAGAAATGATAACAAAGCCTCCTGATCACATGGCCTCTGCTTCCTCGGTCTCAGGATGGCCCTGGTGCCTGGCCATATGGCCCCAGCAGTATGCCAGAGTGGCCTCTCCTCTAGAAAGGAATGAGTCATCAACAGCAGTCCTGTCCTCATCTGTTGGCCTCAGCATAGTTCTGTAATATTAAAATCTATATTGTAAAACTCTCAACTGTACATTCTCATTGTATTGACATGGGACCATGAAAACATGGCTGTGTTTCTACAGTGCCATATGCTTCCCACAATTATGTTGCTGAATTCAGTAGGCTAAAATTATACATTTACATTTTATGAAATCATAGAAAAAATGTCAGTATTCTTCTTCTTTACACATACATCTCTATATGGTAACACAGGTTTCATACCTGGTTTAATGTTTTATTCAGGAATTTGTAAATATACATAGAAACATAGAAAAGTAATGTTCAGTCAGCATCCTATGGCTTACAAAAACTACAATTTGGGCAAGAGGCTTTTAAAACAACTCTCAAAACTTCATAATAAAAGCCTGTAACAAATGAAGTTTAACAATCCCAAATATTCTCCAGAATTTTAGTCATATTTATTAGAAATGTCTGTTTTCTCTTAAGTATCTCAATCCTAAATATTTCCTTTGTTTTTTCCAGGAACTGTATTAAATCAAGCACTGTCATGCTTCTCCAACTCCCTCCTGCTTCTGACCTCAACTCTGGCTTCCTGTAAAGCTCTGCAACTCAAAGGACAGAGCTGGTGACTTCTCTGTGAGGTTTCTTAAGTGGGGGAATCAAATGATTATCATCAAAATAAAACCTGGAAAATAGAGTTTTATCCCTACTTTCTGTAATCTTTAATGATTAGAAGAAATGAAGCCATTATGGGGTTGATTACAAACTATGTAATCACGCTAAGGCCCTAAATTTTAAGAGGCCCTTGAGTTGTTTACAGAAATCGAGAATCTAGAGTGGCCTTCACATCAGGCACACAGTGGACTGAACCAGAAGCATCTGGTACAGAAAAATTCCAATATACAGTATTAATGGAAAATGTTTTCTTACACAGGTACACTATCATCACTTCTGTGTCAGTAAATATTTCATAGAGTGAAACATTCCTCAGATTAGGATTATATACTACCTTTGAGACTTCTCTAGAACTCTTAGCAGCTTAAACAGGCTCACTTTTACCACAAGTCCATTAAAAAGTTGTGTGGTTAAAAAGAGTCCCTAAAAATATAAAGATCCAACAAAAGAAAAAAAATAATTTTGCTCTTCAGGACTGTTATTAAATATTTCAAAAAAACATTTCTAATAAAATTACAATGGTTTTTTGTTGCTTGCTTTTACAGTTTGCATATTTTATACTGTGCTGTGATAAAAGGCAAGATAACTAGAATCTCTTAATTGCCTTCTAGCTAAGGATAACTATCTACTTATAACAGTATTTAAAACTAAAGAAAAAGTGAAAACACATACCAAAGCTTTGTCCACCACAACATACATTTCTAGATAAAGAGGAAGTAAGTCTGGAATTGGTGTTTCTGGCTAGAAAAAAGAAAAGCAGAAAATAAAATTTGAAATATTTTGTAATTTATTTAGTTTGAACTCTTTATAAATGGTACTGCCATGGCATTCATAAGACTTGGTAGGAAGTTTTCTTGTTACAAGTGGCAAATATTAATGTATAGAGCTTTAAGTTTTATATCCTGGACTCTAGTACTAAAACCATTGTTAACGAAATCATTCAATAGGTCTGCAGTGTCCAATTTATGAAGAACAAAACACCTAGCATTTTTTTCTTTCCCATTAAGTTTATTGGTATATTTCAGATATAAATTACAGTTACATTCATCATTGGGATCTTGTACCATTACATGAGTATCTTGGTTCTTATTTTTTTCCCCTTCCCCTGCCCTCCCTTC